TTTTTTTTAAGGTTTTGTTAAAATTTATTTTCTTTTTTATTTGCATATTTCCTCTCTCCCATCTCAGGGATTGCCACCACCTGGGCATTCCGAACAGCTTTGACCATCAGCGCTTCGTCATGTTTGCCAGGGTGTGTGATGTGAATGGGAGGAAGCACATTTGCTCTAGAGACAAGGTATTGACTTTTGCTTTTTTAACATTTATTTTTAAGGAACAATTAATCTGAGTAGCTATAACTAAACTATGGCTGTCAACAGGAATCTGCAAACCTGTATGACATATTCCAGCAAAGGCTCTCGATCCACAGAAGAGCCTGCCAGCACAAGATAAAAATGGCAGTAGAAATTATGTGAGTACCTAGAGTTCCATTTTCAATACTACACAACATTTAGCTTGTCTGAAGTTGTGCCCCTGAAGTCATATGTTGCGTCATTTTATCTAGGCTCAAAGATGCCCTCATACTAGTAGATGACCATCCAGACTTCAAAATTAAAAGTTCAAAAGGGGAGATGCTAAATATCTCCCAGGCAAATGGTGACATGGAGGCATACACAAAGCTGACAGGTAGTGGCTTCAATCTGTGTTGTGTATAAGTTATAAATTGTTTATCCATACACTTTTTTTTATTGTAACTGTATTTATTTTTCTCATTCAGTTTATTTCAGATAAACCATCTCCAAATACAAATTGTAAAAGATTACGGACAACACTCAAATAGGACTGTTTCTTTTGACTGACACTTTTAAATTAATTTAATTGTATATTGATTTAAACTACTGTTGTCTGCAGATGGGCTTTACTCTGTTACATTATATTTAGTAATGTTTGCTATAATAATTCAGCTGGGTTTTTTGTGATATAAATTTGTATAAATAACTTTAAGGCATTACTGATACATTTGTGAAACTGAACTAAATTGATCTTGTTTGAACTGACTTAACTTCCAATTTATTTCTGTGTTTACTCTGAAGATCATGTGTTTGAAAGAATACTCCATTACCAGGAAGGAAGGAAGGAACCTTCCTCCGAGGAAGAAAGGAAAAAAGAACAAGATTTGGAGAAGGCAAGGGAGATTCTACAGAGGGTCATGGAAGAAATGAAGAAAGAATCAGATTTGGAGCAGGCAAGAGAGATTCTACAGAGGGTCATGGAAGAAAGGAAAAAAGAATCAGATTTGGAGAAGGCAAGAGAGATTCTAAAGAGGGTCATGAAACGGGAGCTGTACCGCTGTGTGGGTCAAGCAAAGGTATGCAGTTATGTTTTTATGTGCCTGTATTAAAAGCCCAGTATTCACACTGAATGGGATGCATGGATGGAGGAAGGGAGGGAGGGAAACTCAGAACCTGAACTTACAAAGCATACAATACTACTTTCCAAGAGTCGTTTTCATGTAAGTACTAAAACACCAAGCTGTACATTTATAGATATATATTTTCTGAAGAATGTTTTGGAACAGCTCAAATGTGGTGGGTGTGAAAACTCCTGTGTGAAATAGAGAAATTGAGAAAAACATTATCTTTAAATATGTGGTTTCATGTGATTCCAAGACTCATTTTCTATGTATCCTCTAAAACACCAAGCTGTAAATCAATATTTATTGTAAAAAAATCCTTTTTAAAACAGAGAAATTAAGAAAAACATTATCTTTAAATATTTGGTTTAATGTGATTGTGTTTTCTGTGCTAAATAAATCTTTTCTTCTCCCTCCCACTTGCCCCCTTTCTCAGAACAAGAAAAAAGAAAAAAAAAAAGGAAACACTTGAGGTAAGAATGAGAACAGCTCAAGAAGACTAAACAAGATTAAGAAAACAATAATAATAACAGACACTGTTGTCTTCTCCACCTTCAGAAAATTAAGAAGGATTTGGAAGATAAACTGCGTAAATGCTCTCCTGATGACAAGTTTGAAGTTATTGTGAGTTTTATTAATTCATTAAACTTTTCTTAAAATCTTGTTGTTGTTTTTGTTCATTTTATTTAAAATATGTTTTAAACCTCCACTGGGTCATTATTTACATATTATGAATACAGGCTTCTCTGCAACATTTCATTATAGGAGGTCACTTTGGACTATGGGATGGAAAATGTTGACCCCATCAGTAAAGCATATTTCTATCGCAAGGATAACCCTGATAAAGGAGAACCAATCCCCAAATCAGATGTGAGAACTACAGCCTTGATTTCCATATGCTGCGTTCTTTTTAATGCACCTCAATAAAACAACGTTGGCTGTGTAATATGTAATTTTTATGCTGCTGTCCCTGATGTCAGGTGTTCAGTGTCCTCCCAGACTGGTTTTCTGACGAGATGCTTAGGGTTTACTGGAAGAATCCTAAGGAACTAACAGATGAACAAATAAAAACAAAAGAGCAAGAATTCAAGAAAGTCTTCAATGACTGGTGCAAGGAGAATGGTTATAAGGTATCACTTTATCTATAGGTATTACTACATAATAAGCAAACTGATGCAAGTGTAAGCACGAGTTGAGATTGCATTTCATGACTCTTGGTGTGACTAATAAGCTTTATTTATAAACACAGGATCTAAACAAGGAAGTCCCCAGCGCTGGTCGAGCAACTCCAGGAAATGAATGAATGAATGAATGAATATGTCAAAGATTCAGTTATCAATTTTTTTGTGCAACAGTAGAGATTTTAATATAGGTGTTTTGAATGAGAAAAAAATAATGTTGTTTGATTTTTTTTTTCATTGTTTGATTTAAATCTTAACTATATGATTTAGAATAGATGTGAAATTTTATCAAAATATTACATATTGAATGAATTTTTTGTGATTTGGACTAACTGATACTACTTCCTTTAACATGTATCAATATGAAATAAGCTCTTGATAATCTAAAATAAAAAATTTATTGTAATGTTTTGACTACATATTGCATGTTTTCACTAGAATCAAACTAAATAGATCACCTCGTTTCAATACATGCAGTTTTGGGTACTGTTGTGATTTGGTCATTATCTGAAAATTCATTATTTATCATATCGTCTATCAATGAAAATCTATAAAAGTTAGACTCTTTCAGCTGTTTTCCTGTTCTGATTCGTTTGCTGCTGATTTCTGGTAAATTCCAAATAAAGCTAATTTTCTCTTATGTTTTGTGTCACTGTGAAGTTACAGCTCTTACAACATAACATTTAACACACTGTCTGTCCTTTGGGTGCTGCCTGAAAAAGGTAACCAGAATGCCAAGGTGGCTGGAGCTGAGGTGGTAGAGCAGATCACCTACTAATCGGAATGCTTTTTTATCTTGCTGCTACCCCCCC